TTATACCGAGTAGTCCGGGATGATTCGCTTAGAAAAAATGTTGACCGGATATTTGAGATGCTGGAGAGACTCTTGCTGCCCAGCAGGGCCGAGAGGAGAGGAGGGAGCTACCTGACCTCCCCCACTGCCACAGGTTGAGCCACCCCTGCAGCGAGAGGATCCCGAGCCACCCCGGTATGACCCTGCTCATCTACAGTACCACCCGACACCACCACAGTGTGATCAGGTGCTCCAACCACAGTATCACCCGGCACCGCCACAGTACAATCCAGTACCCCCACCATATCAGCAAGTACCACCGCAAGGCCCCCCAGTCTATCCTCAGCATGGCCCAGTCCCTCTTTCACGGGACCCAGTTCCTCCCATGATTGACCCAAACTACATAGAGAGGTACAAGAGATTAAACCCATATATTTTTGCGGGGGAATCCTCTTTTGAAGATGCCGAGTACTGTTTGACAGAGACAGAGAAGGTCTTCAAGACCTTGGGAGTGACTCCCGAACAGAAAATCACCCTTGATACCTACATGCTAGTGGGAGAAGCAAACCGCTGGTGGGAACTCAAACAGACCACCCTACCTGTTCCAGTTACTTGAGAACAGTTCCTGACGGCTTTTCGTGCAGAATACATTCTAGAGTATCTTCGACATCTAAAGGAAATGGAGTTTGTACAGCTGGTTCAGGGAACATGACTGTATCAGAATATGCCCGCAAGTTTTAAGAGTTGGACCGATATTCCCCGAGACATTGTTGAATTAAGGTAGGAAGGCTAGAAGGTTCAAGTGGAGCCTCCGCTCAGAGATCAGACAATATTTGTTTGTACTGGAGTTCAAGACTTATTCGGCCGTTCTGGCCAAGGCACAGCTAGTGGAGAGGAATTTCCGCACCCTCTCTCAGGCAGCAGGGAACCTCAGACCCTTAGCTTCACCCCGCAGACCAGCACCTACTGTGTCTGTTTAACAAAACAAGAGGCGCAGGCCAGTGATCCAGGCTCCCCCTCAAGCTCTAGTGGCAGGACGCGGTAAGATCTGTCAACATTGTGGCAGAGATAATGGGAACAGACCCTGCTATCGCTCTAACAACACCTGTCACATATGTGGTAGTGCCCAACATTATGCGAGAAAGTGTCCAAGGAACCAGAATCAGGACAGACCTCCTATTTAGGATAGAACTTACAATCTCACCCAGCAGGATGTGGAAGCCAACCCGGACGTGGTACAGGATATGTACACTATCTGTAACTATCTTGCTCATGTTTTGATTGATACTGGTGCATCGCATTTATTTGTTTCACCTATTTTTGCATCAAAATTTAATGTGTTATATGATAAACTTGATTTTATATTATTTGTGTCTACTGCTGGGAGAATGACACTATTGGAAGAAGTTGTCTACAGGGTCTGTGTCATAAATATAGCATCTAGGAAATTGAGTGTGAACCTAGTAGAATTAGACACGGGGGATTTTGATGTAATTTTAGGAATGAATTGACTAGCGGCGTATCACGCCACTGTAGATTGTTTTAGCAAGAAAGTTGTATTCAATCATCCTAATGAGGAGCCATTTACAAATTAATAAAATCGTTTAACATTTATTCCTTCATGGTAAATTTTCTTATTCGTCGAGTACTTTAACCCTGCTGTTTTCTCTAACTAGGCAAACCCAAAAAAGAGATTCGTATTCAAGAGATTCCGGTAATTCGAGACTTTCCAGATGTGTTTTCGGATGAATTACCCAGATTGCCAGTGGACAGGGAAGTCGAATTCACCATAGACCTCCAGCCAGACACCCAACCAATTTCAGTTACTCCTTACCACATGAGCCGTATTGAGATGGAGGAACTGAGGAAACAGATCACTGAATTGCAGAACAGTAGGTTTATCCGGCATAGTGTGTCCCATTGGGGTGCCGAAATCACCTTTGCTAGAAAGGGAGATGGGACATTGAGGTTATGTATTGATTACAGATGGTTGAACAGAGTCACAATCAAGAACAAGTATCATCTCCCCAAGATTGATAACCTTTTCGATCAGTTGCAGGGTGCCCAGGTCTTCTCCAAATAGACATGCGTTCAGATTACCATCAGGTGAAAATCATGACAGAAGACATCCCCAAGATAGCATTTCGAACCAAGTGCGGACACTACGAGTTTTTGGTCATGTCGTTTGGACTAACCAACGCCCCAGCCATCTTCATGGACTTGATGAATAGGGTCTTCAGACAATTCTTGAATCATTTTGTTATTGTGTTCATCGATGACATCTTGGTTTATTCAAAAAGCAGAGA